CGCCGGCATCATCAGTGAGACTTGCCATTCTCCGCACCAAGATACGAACTCGTCAAAGAGACTTGTCTCCCTGAACACAGGACCAAGTTGCGACAACGAGGTCAACCCACTTCTGTACAAACTAGTAGTTATAATTAGGCATATATATTCCGATATGGACTTGCTAGATGGCTCCCTCCGAAAGAGTCCAATAAGAACGCACATTACTGCCTTAAAGGATTTCAAATGAAGAATAACAATCAGATTAATTGTTTGCCCATTCAACAAATCAGAGACATTTGTACAAGTGAATGGTATGATTATTTGTCAGTACATGCACAGTAGAAAGGATCTATACACGGAGTGATAAAATTAGGCATGTACAAAAAATGTAAGGTGTAGCATGAATTGGGAAAAATTGTTAGAAAAAATAGCAAATATTCAATGCGTGCTAACCACGAAAATGGATGCAGAAAGCCCTGCTTTTCTTAAGCAAACATAGATCAGATACGCAATGTATATATACGAAGGTGCATATAAGTAGTCTGGAAAAATCTATTCATGTGCGCTATGGTAAAAAATACCAAACGAAGCGTATAATGGGCATGTACAAGAGGAAGACGAGGGAGAACGAAAGCCACACATCCAGATGTGTAAATAGGAAAAATGGCGCATCAGGGATGACCTGTCTTAATCAGGGCCCCAGTCACCATAACATGGGCTCCAGTAGCAGGTTGGCGACAAAAGTGTTGCTGCTGTAACTGCTGGGGAAGTGCCGCTTGAGCCTCCTGAAGCGAAGCATGGTGCTGAATCAAGGAATGGTGTGGCGAGATAAAGGCGTGTCCGGTCAGATGCGGAATAGCTGTCTGACCCTGTGGATGATGATGGTATACTAAGTTTCCAGCAGCCGAAGTGATAGTGGTTCCGGCATTAAGACTTAACGAAACGGGTGCAGACACATGACTAGTCACCACAGCAGCAGGCGAGGAATGATGTGGTCCGTAAATCCCAATACAAGTGGGTGGCACCGCTCTGGCTGTTTCTGCAGAAAAATGGGCTCGATGTCGTGTCGCAAAATCATGTAGACTAGAGGCTAACGGGTTCGCGGTAATTGGCGTCTGGAGACAATTGGTTACGAATGCCGTAGTTGGTCCAGCTAAGCTGGAAGGAACAAGGGCGAAAGTGACAGGAGTCCCAGGACCGGAAGAGCTGGCGGCTGCGGTCATGGCAATCGGATGTGAAATGAGGCGCAACGATCCTGCAGCGATCCCGGCGATGGTAGAATGTTCATGAATACTGGGGCCGGAAGCAGGAGGATTGTATGCATGTCCTGGGTGATGGTGCTGACCATGGTGCCCAATAATAGCATCTATTGGCACCGAAACAGATGTGGGAAAATTAGCTGAAACTGCTGTTGGTGGGATACCGGCTTGTACGGAGTTAAAAAGTCTATCTGTAGACGCTCTTGAGATTAGTCCCGCACAGGCACTAGACCCAACAGCAATGGCGGAAGCATGGCCAACCCCTGCTGGATTGCTGCTACTAACTGGTGCCGGGCTAGGCATGCTGGCAAGCTGGCAGGGTGACAGGGTAGCTACTTGTTGAGCTGGGGTGTGGGTAAGGGCTCCGACAGTAGCAGTGTTTGCAGAGGTCGGGGCGACGGTGACATGGTGCGAAGTAGCGGTAAGAACACCCATAGATACTGAGGCCTGCAAATAAATTATAAATAAATAGACAGGCATATAATCAGTAAAAGGTGACCTTTGCAAATCACGAATTGTGCTATAATTGGAAAGCGTTTTAGCTCATAACTATTTCTATATATATTAGTCATACTTAATAAATGTGGTAATTTCTTCTGATATTTCAAATAGCTAGATAAGCAATAATAATGTATTCCAACCAAAATGTGATTAAATTTTCAGTCTTTTAATCGAACCTATAAAATTAGGCTTGTGAATCGCCCAAAACTAATTAATAGGCAATTTCAATTTATTTTTGATCTTATGAAATGGATTTAGCCTTAGTCAAAACAAGACACACAAGACATTTATTCACCCTAGGTCGCATGAAATTACGAAGAACTGATAGCTGAATTTTCCCACAATAAAATAAGCTGTCCTCACGTTTCTATTGGATTAAACAGCCTTTTTTCCTCGGAAGGCATTCTTATTTAGAGTGTACTGCAGTTTTGACCTCTCCTGGATCTCATTAGCAGGATTTGAAACTGGGCATTGCAGAGTAGTTTCTGCAATGTGCCAATACGTCACACTGTCACGAGTGCCCCTGGACAGGTGTAAATTTCAAGACAGCTTTTTCCTATATATTTTTGTTGTACAAGTGTCGAAGAAGCAAACTTCTTATTTATTATTAATAGCTAATACGAGCATATAGCATACTATCCGATTGATATAATTATATCAATTTTTAGATGAGGACCGAGATGTTGTGTTTTGTTCTGATTGCAGTCTTCTTTCGCTGTATGGAAATGATTTGACCTCGTTTTCGAAACTTGGTCATGTTGTCACGCTGAGTTAGTTGGGTACACCTTGTCCGAAGTCCTCTGCTATAGGAGTTAC